TTGGATTTGTGCATCTGTTTTGGCCTAAATATGGTTCTTCTTCTCCTGTGCGACCTTTGGCGGGTTCTTATGGAACCCTTGATCAAAGAATAATGCACAGACTGCCACTTGGCTTCCCTTAGCAGTTGTCAGGAGCACTCTGAATTATTTAAATGCATTTTCATGAATACTTGCATAGCTTACAACACAGTGGATGGCAAATAACACTTATCTTGTTTTGTATTTCTTGCTCTAAAGTGTAGTGCATGCAGTGATTGATCAGCAGTGATTGCAGTGAACAGTTGCTTTTTTTTTGTTCTGAAAAATTCAAAGTACATAAAAGCTCATTTTAGTGCATTTCTTAGGTTGTTCTTCAAGGGTGAAACAAGCAGAACATTTTTGCTTTGCATGTTTACAAATGCTAATTATTTCCTGCATAAAACACTGAAAGAGAAGAAAGATTTTATGATTAAGGGAGCTTACTGACTTCTTAAAGTGATATTCCATTTAAGGAAAACCTGCGAGCAATTACCTTGCTGTAAGAACCATGCGGTTTACATTCCTGTCAACTTTTCATTACAAGGTTCTTCACAGACTTTTAAACCCTTTTAACAGTCACCCCTGAAATTCCTTAAAAGCCTTTTGAGTTTTTGTAAAGGTGCCAAGTTAAAGGTAAGTACTGGAGGAAGTTGTCTGACACACTGGTTTTCAAAAAAAGGGGAAAAAAGCCCCCCGGTAACATCTGGAAATGGCACCGATGGAACAAAGACTGTTCATCTGCTTAGAATATAATATTTTGTTGTGATTGTGGAAATATTTCTGCAAATGATATCTCAAAGTGACAAACAGGTGTCTGTGAACACTGCTGTGAATCTCAGCCTTTATTATCTTGACCTGGACAGGCAAAGCAAATCTATTTATATAGCACATTACATGTACATGACAACTCAAAGTGCTTTACACAAAACACCAAAATCAGAATGCAAGAAAATGCAAATACAGCAAATAAAAATAAATCACAGAGCTAGAGTCTCTTAGATGTTAGTTCTGCCTTTAACTCAATCATCCTCTTCCAATCTGTGGACAAAACTTAGCAACCACAGGTCCCTCCTGCCGTCTGTGAACTGATTGCAGACTTTCTCTCCAACAGGTCTGAACAGGTGAGGTGTGGTACTCACCATCAACACGGGGGCACCACAGGGATGTGTACTCTCCCCACATTTATTTGCTCTATACACTAATGAACTACTCTCCAGTGGCCCCTCTGTAAAGCTGATGATATCACCATCCTTGGCCTTGTCACCGACCGTGATGTGACCGTCTACAAGAACTGCATTTCAGAGCTGACAGTGTGGTGTACCGATAACCTGGAGTTAAACACCAACACAATGGCTGGGATGATCATTAACATCCAAAGAAATCCACTTCCACACCCTCCTCTTATCGTTGTCAGCACGTCTGTAAAGGAGGTAGCCTCTGCTGTGTTCCTAAGCATATTGGTTAACCGAAGACCTGGAATGAACAAATACCTCAAATAAGGTTGTTTAGAGCAGAGCTTCTCAAACTGGGGTCTCTGGAAGCCCCAGGGCTCCGCAAAAGGTATCTTGGGGGGTCCTCAAAATCTTTTTACTAAAATGTTAATTTGGTTTTTATTTTTAAAAACGCATGGAGAACAACGAACCAATAAAACAAACATAATAAACTTAATAAAAATATATATTCTCATGGCATTTAGGGGTTGAAATGACAATAAATTATCTTTTAAAACAGCATGGGGGTTTATGAGGGCGTCCCTGGAATTTATTTATTTTTTGTCCTTGTAAGGGGTCTCCAGACCCAACTGGTTTGAGAACCCCTGTTTAGAGGGCTCACAGAAGGGTGCAAGCACTTCAGCTGCTTGAATATCTCAATATTACTGAAGTATATGTTCAGTTCTACAGAGTCACCACTGACACTGCACTGACCACCTCCATTTTAGTGTTTGGTACATGTCATTAAGTATACTTAGTATTGAAAAAATACATTTTCTCAAGTGTTCTTTTGTTTACCAATACACGTTTAGCATAGTTTTTTGCATAAATCAAGTACAGGTAACACAAACTTTGTTAAGTATATTTCTGATAGGTACAGAAAAAGTAATCTGATAGTATTTTAGTTTAAAATTATTAAACTTCAAGGACACCTTTACATACTACATTTTGATAAAAAAAATTGCATCATTAAACTGGGCAGTAAACAGACTGAAAAAACAGGAACAAAAAACAGAAAAATATGCACAGTGTCATACGACTGGCTCAGAAGATAGCAGAGGACCCAAATCACTCGTCACTTTTAAAAATTTGCCTCCTGGCCGAAGGTTCTGTACTATCAGAACAAAACCCAGCAGAMAAAAAAAAAAAAAAAAAACAGTTTTTATTTCCCCACTGCTGTCCCTCTTTACTATTTGTTCTCCTGCACTGCAAACAGGAATGAGTCCTATGTGATTCCTGTACATTTAATGAAATAAATGTGTTTATGATTGATATTGGATATTTATTTTCATATCATTTGTTTATTTAAAAGAAATAATCAAAGGACAAAAATGTGCTGGAACTGGCACAATGGCTAAACTTCATCCATATGAGAATGGTACTGAAAGGAATGTATGGAAGCCGATAGCGGCCATTTTCTGCTTAAATTATTTTCCGTGGTTTTCTCGTGATAACAACATAATCATGAGAAAACCATGGCGAATATGTCATGACTTAATATGTCGTTATCACGAATATCAAGGACCATTTTCTTGAGATATCGAACTAATTATGTCGTTATCACAAAAGAGTTGTGGTTTTCTTTGTGTATCATTAAGTAACCATGGAGATGACCCGATCCCCTCAGCTGGTGACCGATAAAGTTGATTTATTCTGTCAAATCTAGTATCGGCCATGTTACATGCTGAATATAATGCAATTCATTTGGGACTATTTGGGAAGACACTGACAGTCAAAACATCTGAACAGTCATGTGAGGTAAATGTTTGCTACATTAGGACTTACTTGGTAAATAAGTTTCCATCTCCTAGTTTGCGCAGTAAATCTTTCAGAAAATCCAAAAATCACCTCAAGCAAGAATAAAAACTTTTTAGCAAAATTGAAGAAGTTTTTTTTCTTCCAATTTTGCCATTTCTTTCAACCTTTTCTAATACAACACTTCAAAATGTGCATAAAAATGTCGATGAAAATGCAGCCGGTGATAGAAAGTTTTGTTCAAAATCATCTGACTGAAAAAAAAAATAAAGAAATAGGCATTTTTAAAGACTTGCATTTGTGTCCTCCTGTTTGTTTACATGAGTTTTACTTTTTGGAAACCACCTACGTGACCTTTGACATTATCCTGAGGATCTGTAATCATAAGTAGCTAAAACTACAACAACCTGATTCAGCCATAGTCTGTTAAAGAGATTTCTCCAGCATCATATGGAATAAACAAAACTCTTTACAACAATCATGAATTTTAGCCAATTTCCCAACTTATGTTTCACCATAATTGTGATTTTAAGTGTGCAACTTTATAATGTAAACATAACACAAACATTAATATAAAACAGGGAAACAGACATTTCTGGATTAACTACATTAATTTTACTGATACTTTACTGTTTAAAACAAATGATGCATTTAAAGGAAATAATTTAAACCTCACCTACAAGGAAATCTTTTGTGACTCATAAATTGTCTGTTTGCACAGAAGTAAAGTTATTGATTTTACAAGTGTTATTTATTTATTTGTACATATTTTTGAGCATCCAATGCGTCTTCTCTTGCCTTTGGTTAAAAATTTGAAGCTGTGTTACTGACCATGGTCAAAGGTGCAAAGAAAGATTGTGCGACTGCACACGATGTCAGGTCGTCTTTTTAAAGCTTCCTCTGATCTCGGATCTCTGCACTCATCCCACAGAAAACCAACTGAGGAGATAGAGGTCGGACACACCTTTTACTTCTGTTGCTATTGTTAACATGACGATCAGAAAGCACCCGTCATTTGCAGTTTCAGTGCTGAAGAATCATATTTGTAGCACTAAATATCTGAACACTGGCCAGTCTATGCATCAGCTTAGCAGTTCTAGCTCAGGGCAGTATCATGTGGATTTGGCATTAAAATACACCATGTGGGAGTTCTTTTTTTTTTTCATCTTTTTTCTTCTTTCAAATTTGGCTCCCAGATCCAGAAGTTAAAACTAAGCTGCTGAATATGAAAATGTATTTATTATAACATGAGCCTGTAGTAAACAAATGTTGACATCTAGAAGATCGTTACAAAGTATCTGTCAGTCATCCTTTCTTGAAAATACAGAGATATAAATATTTCTTTCAAACATACACAGTACATTGATTTATAGTTTCTTCTTGGTCAGTTGAAATGTAACTAAAAACATGCATTTATTTAATTTGGGTAAATTAAAAATAATTTTAAAATTATCCTAATCTAGCAAAAATCAATAAATTTGTTCATATTCAACCTGTTTTCCGTTTGGTTTCATTGAACAAATTTCCTAAAATTTGCAATACTCTTTTCAAAGTACTCAGTAAATCATAACATTTCATACTAATTAGTATTTCTTGGAACTAAATATTCTCATTGTTCCAGACTTGGAAAGGGTGTTTTAGCCCATAATCTGTAATTTTTGTGAGTCTGGGTTGCAGAATGTAAACATTCTTAAAAGTCATCATTGTGTTCTCGTGTGGACAGCCTAAAAACAACTTTTTAAATACCATAATATATAATCTATATATAAATAAATATCATAATCTCGCCTCTAACGTACCACACCAAATACTGACAGATTAAATGTTTGTGTTGCAGACATCAGTGCTCAACAACAAAATGTTGTATTACTGCAATGAACAGACAAGATTAAAAAACAAATAAAAAAAACACTTAAAGGTGCAGTATGTAACTTTTCTAAAAATATATTTTTAACATATTTGTTCACTCTGTCACTATCTCCTGACAGATTGATATTAGACAGGTACACTGTAAACCCCAATAGTAAATGTTTGATAAAGCAAATGAGTTGCAAATACTTAAAAGCGTGTTATAGGTTTATACAGCTTTATTTTTCTGTGTAGTATGAACAATTTTCTTTTTTCAAGTTTTCAGTACTTGAACATGTTGATAAATATCAGACATGGAAGTCAAATCATTTGACTCGTCCCTGACGTAACACGACGTGCGCACGTACGTACGTGCGCCTCGTTTCTTCGTGGTGAGCTTTGCAAAGCCGACATTTTGGAATCCTCGCTTCAAGTGTGGAAGGTTTCTCGTCACTCCAGTCAGAACTTGTAAAACGTTAAAATATATACAGAACTCGTGTCGTTTTTGATTCAGGAACTTTTTTCGACACTTTGGCTTTAAAGGTGGACGGAAGAGGACGTGTTTGGGCATGTTCCAGACATCTTCGATTTGAGCAGCTTACACTGCATTTGGCTAGCCGCATTAGCGCGCCATTGCAACTTTCTCATATTTAAGGAGCACTTTATGGTAAGTTTTAAGACATTTGTCCTCATAAATATACAGTTTTAGCAGGCATTTAATTGTGGTGCGAGTCATATCAGCGTCGTGAAGTATTTTCCAACGTGTCTCCTACGACATAGTTACTATTGTCCATGAAGACG